CATATATTCAACTTTTTTTTTTTTTAGGGGGTGGCACATACGAGCACATAACATACAATGCATAATCATATCAATTCAATAGGTACATAACTCGAATGCATAGCATAACACATTTACACATGAGCGAACACAAGGTAAGCATGATCAAGATCATCAATCAAGAACAAACAAAGGACAAGGAAATTCATGAATCCGAATGCAAGTTCCAATGTCAACAAATAATCATCTCATTTTATGAAAACCGTCAAAATCCTCAAGCACATAAAGCATGAGAGTTAGTAGTGAAAACGATCGACAATCCAAACTAGCCACTACGCCATTCCAAACTATAAGACAAGCATTAAGCCTCATGTGGGAGAATTTGACACAATCAACAAAATCATCCTAAACAACCGGTCCAAAACAAAACTAAACAACCTAACCAAGATAACGGCAAAGGAAAATCACAAAGACACATCAAACGCAATCGTCTAAACCACAAAAAAAAACCACGAAACCCTCCCCCACACTTCAAACAAAGCAATGTCCCCATTGCTTAAGAAAAATGATAAGGAAGAAAGTCGTGTCACACAAGATTAAACGGGAGCAAAATCCGAAGAAAACAAAGAGAAAGGAAAAGAAAAGCACACAAAGCACATAGCACAAGAATAAAAGAAAATGAAAAGAAAAAGAAAAAGGGAAAAAGAAAACGCGTACTCGACACGGTGAACAATCACCGTGTATCCATCATAGTGTCATCCGGAAGAAGAGAAGAAGAGTCGGGCTCTTCGGCATGCAAAGTCGGGAGAGGAGTGGGGTCAACAATCCGAGAATCAATATATGCCGAGAACCGAGTATCAAGGGAAGTAATACAGCCATCCATGGTGTCCAACCGAGCCTTCACATCACGCATATGATCATCCATTCGGGTCCCTAATCGAGCAAACTCATCGGTCATGAAAAGTCGGAGCTCACCAAGCGTCTTCGTCACGGCGGTCATCGGGTGCTCGTATGGGGAAAGGTCAATAGGCGGCCGGTGGCCGGTAGATGTCCTGGGAACTTGTCCTTTACGCCCCGTGTTTTCAAAATACGATTGCACGCACGTCCGATCCGCGTGAGGGCACAAGGTTGTCTCGTTTAGTATGATTTGTGCCACCTTGAGCTCCGTGGATCCAATTGGTTGGGTCTCCACCTTGTCGGATGCCAAATCTAACCCAAAATGTAAGGCCAACGCCGAGATAAGGGTGCCGAATGTAGGGTAAAACCGGTTGGCACACTTAATTTGATCGATAGTGCTCCAAATGAAAGGGGCGGGATTCACTCGCTTGTTGTGGAGGGCACAATGGAGCATGAAGATTTCAAGCTTATTTACTTTTGAAGCCTCTTTCTTCCCAAACACATTATAGGAGATGTATTTGTGAACTACACATAGAGCATGGTCCCGGATGTGCCCCGTAAACAACTCACCATTCCGCCTTGGAGGGAAACCCGATAATTCGCGCCACGCTTCATTGACATCGAAACCCTCCGGTGGCGCCTCTAAACCCACACCCGTAAATCCCAATGCTTGTTTCATGATAGCCGCATCTATACGGCGGGGCACCCTGCCTAATCGGCATGTGACGACTTCCCGGTTGTCCACAAGTTGAAAGAAAGTGTAGAACTCTAGGACCTCATTCGTATAAGCACTATGATTCATCTCGGCATACTTCAACAATCCAAGGACCTTGAGATATTTGATAATGTCGTCTTTGATGCCGAGCTTTGC